AAAAGGAATTACGCGCTGTAAGTTTCCTAATGACCAAAACAGGTTGTTGTGGAGCTCTAAAGTGCCAGAAACTCGTCTCGAACGGTATTCAGTGTGCCTGCGTCGGATACTGGTACAACCCAGAGTGAGCCCGCATAGACTGTGACGCCTACGAAGCTTATGTGGGAAACGACGCCTTGCAGTGGCTCTGCTACATATGCTTAGCACTGGCGCGGGGGGGCGGGCGGTCGTAAAGTCCCTGTAAAGGTAGTCAATACGGGAGTAAAAGTCCAGAACTCACTGGATTCGCAGTTCGAACTAAAGAAAATCGTAAAATAGCTAGAATCAAAAGTTACCGCTCTAGAGATGGAGTTGTCCTTGATCAATAAAGAGAACGATATGGTTATGGGTCGAAACAGGAAAATCCTCATCTATAACAATGAGGAACCGATTAAACGAAACGCGAAAGTCCGCGCAGACATGAAACAAAGGAAAGTGCGGGAATTGATGAGACTTGCGGGCTACCTTCGCATGTGCTCATTAAGAGAGTGCAGAGGATTGGCCGCTAGACCGACCCTGCAGGCAGCGTGGAGCGGACGAAAGCTAGGTCTGTTCTGGTTGAATTCAGTAATCCCGCGGACCGGGACCAAATACTTAGCAACTGGGAGAAAATAGAGCGTGCCACTGGAAGATTGTATCAAATCACACCTGATGTCCTCAGAGCAGGGCCATGCATCCGCGATAGGGAAGGGTAGGGCAGCCGGAAGGGCTATTCTCAGGGTATCCTTCGCTAAGGTCTCTCCGGAAGTATGTCCGGTTTGGAAATCGGAACACTAATGCAAGCTGAGCTACGCAATGATAGTTTCCCGGACTCCCAGGACCTAAACCTGTAAAGCAGCGGGGAAGCGACGAGTATCCCGCAAGCAGCCAAAGGCGGGGGCACAACCGACGGTTCGGAGGGCAAAGCCCCTCAGTGTTAAGCTCGGTAGGGGCCAACCTTCACTTCTGGTTGTGCCAATCAGGACAGTAAAGATTGTGGGGCGACCGCTCAGCCCTACGCCTAGGACAGAAAACCAAACGCAGGTGGTGCCTAAGGCAAAACCAAAGCAAAAGAAAACGCTACCGGTTCTTCCAAATGAAATTATGGATCAGACGCTGACACCGATCGCAACCTCAAGGACTACTCAGACCTCAGAATCTAGAAAAGCCGAAATCGATGTAGAGGGACACAGCATGGACAAGGAACTGCATGATCGATTTTCAGTTGCAACGAAAACTGGAGATCGGATGGGATCGGTAATCAGTCATATGATTATTGAAATAGTGTGAAGCCCACCAGAGTAGTGTCGGGACGTAAAACGGACTATTACGTCAAAAAGAGTAGTTGGCCCTCGGGTGTTGCACTCGAGGGCACTGATAAGTTGAGAGAAAAACACCCATATGCACCAGTGTTCCAGCCACACAGACTATAGATATGGTACACAAATATGTGCAGCGTTGAAAACAAATGGGGTGAGCTAGCGATTAGATGCCAGGATTGTGATATTACGATCGTTACTGAAATATGACTATCCAAAACCATCTCAGTGGAACGACAAGCCCCTCTCTAATTCGCCCACTAAAGAACTGATAGGGAAAGTGGACGAGGTGGGCCGTTTGTCTCAGATTCCGAAAATTGTGAGACGCTGTGGAGGTATTTTTAAAACGTCTATAAAATTGACGACCGGCGTGCAGTCCAACGAGACTGTGGAAGTCTCAGCTAGTAGTATTCCCAAGGTCCTGGAAAGCTTGAATGAAAACAATTCTGCTGGCAGCGTTGGGCTTCACTCGGACGTCCTCAGATCTCCAGCTCCTGTGGTCGTCCCTGCAACAACCGCACTATAACAGGAGTCCCCANGTCCCCAAGGGCTGTGAGAGTACCCAGAGATTAGACGGCTGCCACAATGGTATCGATCCACAAGAGTGAGGATAGGAGGCAACCTGGTAAATAAAGAATGGTCATTTTGACGAGAGTGCTGTGTAAGGATTGAGAAACCATGGTTGGGAATACTCTCTGTGAGCACGTCACTCGACGTGGGTTAATTAGCCCCATCCAGCACGGCTTCCTCAAAAAGATTTTGTGTTTGAGCAACCTCCTTTGTTTCTTAGATAAAGATACAAGGAGGTCAGATGGAGGTTAAAAAGTCGAGGTGTGCTACCTGGACTTCAGGAAAGCCTTCTAGTCGGTAAATCACCGGTTCCTACTAATAAAACTCAAGGGGTTTGGTATCCCGGCAACTGTACTTAGATGGACCCATAGAGTTCAGGTGGGAGAAACTCTGTTAGTAGCGTATCCAGCGGAGTGCCTCAGGGCTCAGTGCTAAGCCCGACGCTCTTTATGATGTTTATGATTGACTTGGTTCATAAATTAGCGGTTCCTGTTGACGACGTAAAACTAGCCAACTCAGAACCAGAAGACAAACTAGAAGGTGCTCTGGCAAAGGTTGTCCGGTGGACACAGAAGTCGAACTTGGAGCTAAACACTACCAAGTGTCATAATATTAACACTGTAGGGCTTCCGGTTCGAGTGACTACGACCTCGGATCCGACGATCTTCTCTCGAGTAGACCGAATACTGGACCTGGGAATTTTGGTTCGCGTGGACTTCAAGCCCAATGATCGATGCCTGGCCGCCGCACAAAAATGAGGGGGCAATTATTTCAGCTTAAGGCGGCCCTGTCGTCCAGGATGGCTGCGGTTTTTGTACTTCTATATAAGGCCATAATTAGACCGCAGTTGAAATACTACATGCAAGCTCCGGAGCCTTACTTGAGGAAGGATACCAATTGCATTGAGAGGGTGCGACGGTTAGTTACTAGAGTGATCGCGGGAATGAGAGGTAAGTAATATAAGAAGAGGTTAGAAACTCTAAGGGCTTTTTTCCATGAAGAGGAGACGCCCCTTAAGGGTGATGTCATCGAGTCCTTCAAAATAATAAAGGGGCTGACAGGGCGGGAGGCTGACAGCCTGTTTACCCGAGCACTGCTTGAGTCAGCAAGGGAGCATCATTTGAAGCTAATGAAGCCCAGGAGCCGACTTAACTTAGGTAGAGTGATAGATGAGTGGAACCAACTACCATCTTCACTGCTAGACTGTATGACAGTCAATGAGTTTAAGAGGCAACTGGATGGGGTCTGGATCAGTCTCTATCTACAGATTTTGTAGGACGCCTACTATTGGCAGTAGGTGTCCCATGCTGCTTATTTTCCAATAACCTCCATTTGGAGATACGGACCCGAAAAAGGAGGCTTTCCCAAACGAAGAAATTGGCTCTGGTCAAACGGTCGATAAGAAGTCGAAGCTCCGGAAGAACGTTGGTTTGGTTGGAGCAACAATCTGGATAATCGGTTGACGAAAGCCTTTACTATCCTGTGCAACCTGACCTGACTTATCGGGAGTCAATGACCATTTTTGATTTTTTCAGTTCAAAACGTGAGAGTTTATGGCTACAAATTTTAACTAATGCACATCAGGTTAAAAGTACAGACCAACTGACACGGGATCATTCCTATGTGGAGCAGGTTAACCTGGGAATTGGTCGAATACACCATTTTCAACAACTTCTAGGTGGCACTGGATGCATTTTGATTGAAAGCGTTCCCGGAGTTTAGTATGAAGACCGAGAACACCCTGAATGAATTTCACCGTAACCTGAGAATTCTGCTATGGATTAAAGTTGAACTTGACAGTTGAACTGTTCAAAAACTGAATGCCCTGCGGTATGTGCTCCGTAAGCAGGGACTCTCATCAACCTTAAGGCTTCTCACCGATGAGGTAAGAAGACAGCTGGCTTCAGTTCCTTCCCTTTCAGTAAGCGTAACGAAGGCCTAATCGTAATGGAAACTGGGCTAGATCGAGAGGATCGGAAGTAACAAATAGGGGCGCAGTGTGCTAGGCTACTATCACCTTGTGACAATACAACGACCTGGACGCTCGACTGGCAAGGACCATTTTCGTCCCGTGCAAACTAAACTGAAAGGAACTGAAAATTCTCCTGGTTTAGGCTCTTGTTCTCTCATGTTGGGTTTTAGCTTGACTACATTTACCATCCATTGTCAGCCTCGGTAAACAGCGCTTACCGTGGTAGTCTATTTAGTGACTTGTGCAAAACAATCCCCAACCAGTAAAATCTCTGGAGGTCGACCAGTCACACCAGTGCAAGACCTCTGCGTTTAACCTCAGCGTCGCCAATCCAGTTTTCCTACCAGAATAGTGTCATGGGGCTTGACAACCGTTCTCAAACACGAACTTGCTACTCTTGATCTGTTTCCGTAATGGCCGGGTTTCTACACTGTATGGCAGCACCGGCGAAACTGATGCAATATGCCCTCAACACTTCACAGACAGCCGAATGTAGCGACGGCGCCAATATATGTCTCAGGTTGGCAAACGCTAATTGAGTTCTCTGTGATGCGTCTGCAGGTGAGAATGATTTACTCGTTATTAGTTATAAAATCTGTTATTACTCTGAAATAGCTTCCTCATTGATGGCATTTGTCCAATATGACATTTTGAATGTTGTTGATCGCTGTCCTAATCCATCAAGAATCGCAGCGTTCAACTGGGATCTGTTACGTTTCACAATACAGAATAGTTTCACAAAATCACTTTGATTCACATAATCTTCCAACAAAGGCCTGCTACATAAGGTTATCGTGTTTTGATTGTCAGAGGGTGCAGTGAATCGTGTCCGGATACCTACTCAAAAGTGGAATTTCAAAAGGACCGCTAAGAATCTGCTGCAAGAATTAAAGCGTAAAAAGTCTATTGAGGAAATATTGAAATGTAGTCAACAGCAGCAGCAAAGACACAGAATAGTTGGTCTTTAAGCAAAATGTTTATTTGTTAAATCTGACCAAAAGGTATATCAACAGTTTGCAGATGGTGGAAGATTACTAGATTTGTTTCCATTGCTCACTTAGTAATAGAACATTCTACGGTACTGCGATACTGGCGACACTGTTTATGAGTAGTATAAGCGTTCACATACGAAAAAGGGACAGTGGTTTGCAACGAAGTCCGGGAGCATCAGCAAAGTAGCAGGAATCCACAGATATCTCCAAACCAATAAAAAAATCGTGGAATCATCAGACCCTTTAATCCAGAGGCGTTCTGGAGAACTCAGTTGGTCGACTTCACACTACGTATTAGTTTTTTGTTGCCCTGTTTACCCCATACATATTCCACGTCTGAAATTCATTGTTGCATTTAACCTTCGAATGGTGAAATATTAATACTACTCATATCACGACAATCAGCAGGTCATTCCTTAATGTGCCAAGTTACTGAAAACTACAGTGTTACCCGTTGCTTGGGTGTCTGTCAACGCCTTTTCATCTTCGAGTATCCTTATAACGCTTCATTGATGAAACGATTTTAATTTGTCTATTTGGCCAGTAGTCGAAGATGATCTGAAAGTTCACCAAACAGAAAGCTCGGTTTACGAAGAAGTTCATTAGGAGGAAATGGGCTTCATTCTGTGAAGCAATGAGATGATTCCAAAATTAACGGAATCGCTCATTTGCACGTTTTCAAAATATCCCGCGAAGGTAAACTGGTACTCACTACTAGTAGTCAGTCTCCGATATGCAAATAAAGGAAGAGAAAACTTCATATCCCGTAATGGATTATAGGATGAAAGTGGTAAACAGTAGCAATGGACTTTTGATTTTCGGCGATTACAGGATAAGGGCCAAACTAAACCAAATAGGTATTCCAATGGTTGGAGCGAATTATGTATGAATTTGCTTCATAGCCTACTATCCAATCAGAAAAGCAAAACTTCTAACCCAAATGAAAACGGTTCTCAGACTTCCTGAAGGTAATTAAGTATCATTTTCGCCAGTCTATTGCTATTGACAAAGTATGGAAACTTGGTTTTCGTAGCTCGAGTGAACTGAATTCCATTTCCCCTGTTCGCCGAGCTTGGCAATTGGTTTGCAAACGTTTCATCACCAGACGAGGTGACATCATCAGTGCCACTTCACAAGCACTGATGATGTCACCTGTTCTGGCGATGAAACATTTGCAATCAAATTGCCAGGCTCGGTGAACAGCCGAAATGAAAGTCTATTGCTATTTTCACTTAAGTATAACCAAGAAATTATTTCAAACTTTCAAAGGTTTCAAAGGGTTTTCATTTACTTTTGGTTTGGTCTGACCATCTTTAACGACCTCCTGAAGAAAGCTATCGTTATTTGATTAGTTACAAGTAGTATAAGTATAAGAGGAAAATGTTTAGCAACAAAAGATTCGTTACGAGTGGATATAGTGTGCTCGACTTCCCGTCCCTGGGGAGAATATGAATGATGGTGCTAAGACAGTTGAATTTAAAATTATTCATAAATTCAGAAGACTATAATTGTTAACTTTTTCAATTACAGTTTTGGGACTCAAGAACTTTGTATCGCAATAGACATCTGTTTGTGATTATATTAGTAGTACTTGATGGGAGTTAGTCCAAACAATTATTCAGTTTAAAACTCCTTTGAAAGAAAAATAATGTAAAAAATAAGGATATCTGTTACTAACTTATTGATATTCCATCTATGTATTGATTTTAGAATGAAGTTGGATCTTACCCTACGAAACGAACAAAGTTTCACAAAACATACTTGAAAACCTGATGATAAAAAGCTGCCCTCTTGCTCGTGACAAAGTTATCTAATTTAACTGTAGAGAGCGACTCACTTTTTTCACATCGATTCCAGATTCGATGAGCAGCTCGTTTGCGGTTTTGTATCCACGAAACGCTTTCTCCTCTGCATCCGTGAATCGGCGGTCATGATATTTGTTTCGGCAAATTTCCATCAACATGCGAACATTAATCAGTCGTTTGTGGCTCTTCATGAGCAAATTTTGCACGTCTGTGGTCATTTTTTGGAATATCTCTTTTGACTTCCAAGATTTGTAAACTAGCTTTACTTCTTCCTCTTCCTCCGAGTCCCCGATTCCATCCGCATAATAATCCCTACTCTCGGTGTTAATTTTGGCCGCCCCACTGTTAGCGTCAGTAGCGTTGGCAAACTTCTCTGTCAACAAGTCGTCAATGTCAGTGTGTTGCGTAGCATAGGAATTCACACCGGATGCTAGTATAGAACTTCGACGCCGCGAACCGAGGCCACCAAGTCGGCCGTTGTATTTCTGTTCGGAAGTTAATGTGTCCTGTCGGATTGTGGCCTCGGAATCACGTGAATAACGTGAGGCCTCGGATCTGCGCAAATGTGGCCGTGTTCGGACCACACCTTCACGCAGCTTGACTACACCGGCCTCATCAGGTTTTTCAACAACGTCCCATAGTTGCGAACCACTCATTTCACCTGCGGATGGCGGGTCCGCATCGTGGAGTGAATATTGTCGTTTCCAGTCATTTACTTTCTGGATAGGATCCTGGGAGGAGGGTGGTTCAAATCCACGTCGAGCGACTGAGTCTTTTCTACGCTGTTCCTCTAGGCGCAACTGAGCTTCTTTTTCTGCCAGTTCAGCTGCCACTTGTCTACGGCGTTTTATTTCTTCTTCCAATTCCAAATTTTTCTGTTCATCTTTTTCCCATTTGGCTTTCCTTTCAAGTTGTCTTAGTCGGCGTCGTTCACGCTCAATTTCCAACTGAATTTGATTTTTCCATTCCTCTTCCAACATCCGATCGCGCTCTAGGCGGCGTTGTTCCGCGACGGACAAGTTTGATGTAGCTGTAGCTGCCGGAGTCACTGTGGTTGCTGTGGCTGTCACCAAAGGTGAACCGGGTGGTTGGGTTTGTGCTCGTAATTTGGCAGAGTAATCAACTCCATATACAGATTCTCGCCAACCACCTCGTCCGGGTTGAGGGCTTTGTGGTTCGTTTTCTTGCTTTGAGAGTTGGTTTAAATATCGTCCGCCAATATTCAATCGACGTGGAATGTTGATTTTTGAAGTTGGTGAACCAGCCGAACCTTTGGTGGCTGGTAGAAGAATATCATCAGTGGTCTGAGTGCCGTTAGTTAAATAGCTGTAATCTAATCGACGTTCCATTTTTTCAGTTTTTGTTGCCGAAATTCCTGTGATTTTGTTTCGTAAACTGGGATCCTCTTCAGTGGAACATGCTCGGCTTACAGCCACAAAATATTTACCCGCGGCTTCCCCCGATTCATTTTTATCTTCCGGTAGGGGTTGGGAGGCAAGTTTGGAGCTGTTGGATCTACTGTAACTGGTTGAAGGTTTAAGGTGATTTAGAAATCTACCGGAACCAGATTCGCGACTAGAAAGACTACTACTTGGATAGCGACCGCTAGATAAACTGGACAGAGATGTTGTGTAGTCCGTGCCCGTGTTTAGCGAGCCTCGATCAACACTGGATCGTCGTGAATCGCTGACTGGTCTGAGATTCGAGGGCCCGCAACTGATTCCGAAATTGGAATAGGATGTTGGCGAGCGGATCGGTTTTAGAGATGCAGCTGACCCAAAAGGAGACGCCGGTGTGGAAGCGACGTTTCCGTAGGAGCGGCCGAATTGGTATCCGTTATAGTTTGAACTGGTCTGCTAGGAAGAAAGTCAAAGGAACGCGGAGACAAGGATGAGTACAAAGTTTAAATAAAATAAGATACAAGGAAAGTATTTATATTAGCTAAAATTGGTTGTACACAGTTTTAGACCAGACCATTTATAAATATTCTTAAAGGTAGGAAGGTATGTAAATAGTTAAACAGAGTTAGTGGAGGCAAATCGTTAATTGGCAGTTCAATACAGCTTTTAATTACACAGGCACCTTTGTCTTTTGTGGCGAATCTCATCCAGCAGTTCGATCGATAGTATCTTAATAACAGGTCAAGTGAACGACGTGCTTTCAAGGCTAGATTAAGATAATGTATGGGGGAATTGGATAGCATCGACTAAAAAATATTCAAATATTTACATGAAGCCGTTGCATTCAGAATTTGACTACATTCACACATACTGATGCACCTGTTGTAAGAACGTACCAATGAGAACAGAGCACACATGAATAATGCATTCGTTCGCAACTGTTCAAACACCGCATCTGACCAGGAAGTGTAGCACATGCCAAGGTCTAAGGGCCAACTGACCAATCACACTACCCGCACGTCTAGATGGTTCAAGGTCCCATCCGAGTTACTGCGAGACACTTCCTTCCAAAATCGCCTTAGTTGAGTCCTAAGACGGTTCCACATTGGTGGAATCCGAGTGTGGTTTTTTTGTTGGTGGTGGGGTGGTTTGCAGTTATCCTCCTTTGAATCCCATTTTGAGGGAAGCAGATTCTAGGGGGACAATACTAGGATGAAGGTTTGCTTTAGCAAGCAAATTCATTATTTTGAGGCGTGGAATGATTCACTGCATTGTACCATGTTTTTCATCTAAATGTTTAGTGCTTGAGAGATAGTTTGATCGATTTACATGATTTAAGCTGCGACTGTTTCAGGATTTTGCAATGATAAATTTAACAGTTACATATTTTGTAAACTGCTGGCGTGTATTTTTCAAATTCTTCTATCGTTCTGGTCAAAGCCTTTCGCTTGCGGATACATTCATATACAGGGATTGTCCAAGGTTTGTTCGGCATTCAGTCCTCGGGGAAATGTGAGCAACTGTGTTTAAACGTCTCCGCAAACACTGGGTTGATATGAGAGTACTGGAGTATTCGCTTTAACTTTGCAAACACTCTACCCACTTCGCCACTTCAGAACGGTTGAACAGATCGTATTTCATTTGACCTTTACACGATACAGCGTACAACCCAACTTCGCATTCTTGTTGTGTAAGCATATATGCCTACATTTCAGTTAAAAATGTACACTGTTCGTCACGCAGAATAAAATAATAATAATAACAATAATAATAAAAATAAGAGGTAAAGAATGTCAGTGATATTTGTTTCATGTACAAAACCTTTGATGTAGTTCATTTGATACCTGTTCCCTTTTGGTAAGTAGTCGGGCCAGGTAGGGTACAGGGGAATTTTCATAAATGTTGATGCGAGAGGGTGGCTGTCGAAATGAGGAGCGTGTGAACGGATGGGAACGACAAGACGATAGATCAGGGAGTAG